TAGGGATTGGAATCCACCACCTCGGAGCTCATCTTCTCGACGCGGACGCGGCCGCCCCCTCCGTCGCCATGGCCTGCAGCCCTCCGGCCTCTCTCCTCGGCCAGCTCCAGCTCCAGCTCCCGCACGCGCTGCTGCAGCCGCTCCACAGACCCGGCCATGGCTGGGACCGCCGCCGCCCCCTGCCCTGGCCGCCGCCGCCGCCGCCCCACTGCTCAGCTGGCCGGGCCGCGAGGGAAGAGAAGGAGGCACCTGCCGGCGCCCTCAGCCACAGCCCGAGAGATGCCGCCAGCGCCTCACAGACAGACACGTCTCCTTCTCCGCAGGCACGCCCACGAGCCCGCTTCCGGCGCGCATCCGGAAGTGCCCCCGCAGAAATTCCCGCAGAGCTGCTTCCGGCGGGTCCGGCAGCGCTTCCACTCCGGACCGCCAGCAGAGTTGCTTCCGGCGGAGTAGGTCCGGCAGCTCTCTCACTCCGGAACGCTCGCTGTGCCGCTTCCGGCGTTCCGCTCAGGTTTCCACTCCGGAACGCCCACAGTGCCGCTTCCGAGGCGCCGCCGTCCCCACTCACCTCGCGGGAGAGGTCCGTCCGGTTTTTGCTCCCTTTTGTGCCGCCCTGTGACCTCTGTCTCCATAAAGCCAAGGTCATGTATTAAGGGCTGATGGCCCTCAGCATGCACTGTATTTGGTGAGAAGCCTTTAGGCTTCAAGTTATGCCGGTGCATTAAATGCAGGTAGGTGTGAGAGAGCCCTTGTTCTTACTAAGCGGGGACTGTACTTTCATTAAAACTGAGGACTTTCAATTTGGAGTTTAGTCAAAAAGCTGAACATAGGAATTCCCTATGACCCAGTTATTCCACTGCTTGGAATGTACCCTGAGAAAGTGAGAACTGAGCCACAAACCGCGATTTGTACACCAACGTTCGTAGCAGCGTTATTCACAATCACAGGAACATGGACACTGCCCAGATGTCTAACCAGAATCTAAGCAAGCACACAGGAGCAATGATTTAGAAAATCCCTTTCTAACTTTGGAGGGACTGGAGAACATTATGTTGTGTGAACTAACTCAGTCCTATAAGGACAAATACTGTATGAGACCTTTATTGTAGAAATAGCTAGTAAAACGTGTATGAGGATCCAAGGGGAAGAAGGTAGGAGCAGAGAGGTGAGGATGTGCAGAGGGGTTATCACGGGTCTTACAATTTGGTGGGTGGAGGGAGGGTAAAGAAAATGGGAAAGATCCGGTGGGGATCTGGAAAGACGGGGAAATGGTGGGCATAGTTCAATATTGATTTTGTAAAACATGAGAATGATGGTATGAAACAAAATGAAGGATGGTGTGAACTACAGTGTATGTGAGCTTTGTAAGTAAACCAATATAAAATAATAATCATTAAAAAAATACAAACTAGGCCTTCAACTCTGATGTGAACTGAGAATTTTAATTCCTCATACAGCCTCCATTTCTTGGCCAAACCCAAGTAACTGGGCTAAGGAGGGCATTGCTTAGCAACACGCCATAGGGTGTTTGATTGGTTGAGGCACTAGACCGGCTCTTCCCTCCCCTATTCCCCTCCCCCCTGCCAGCGACTCCCCCGCTTATTTCCCAGCCCTTCACCACCACTACCCCATCACCCCTGCCAGCAGACTCCACCCTCCCTTTCCTCCTCCATCCACCCTCCCTCCATTTTTCCATACCTTTTTTACTCCTTGTGCTGAACAGGAGGCTGGAATTATTATTATGAGGAATGTGGCACCAGGATTGGGGGAAGACTCATCAACAACCTGCATTATGCAGATGATACAACCTTGCTCACAGACACTTATGAGAAACTAAAGCCTTTGCTGCAGTAAGTAAAGGACTCCAGACCTCAATGTAGATTGCAGCTCAATATCAAGAAAACAAAGATTCTCACCACCAGGCCAATAAGCAGTATCATGATAGATGGAGAAAGGATTGACATTATTATTTCATCTTGCTTGACTCCACAGTTAACATCTTTGGCACTAGCAGTCAGGAAATCAAAAGATTTTTTTTTTTTTTTGGGAAAAATCTGTTGTCAGGGACCTCTTTGGATTGCTAAAGATCAACTATGTCAGTCTAGAGACTAAGGTGCTGCTGATGCATGCTGTGATATTCTCAGTTCTGGGATTCCCATTCTTCTCAGAGTCAGCCACAGTTTGTTATGATCCACCCAGTCAAACGCCTTTGCATAATCAATGAAACACAGATAGACATTCCTCTGGTATTCCCTGCTTTCAGCTAAGATCCATCTAACATCAGCTACAACATCCCTAGTACCACGACCCTTTCTAAACCCAGCCTGGACTTCTGGCAGTTCTCTGCTGAGGTGTGTCGAAAAACAGAGAGACTGGCTCAGGATAGGGCGGGGTTCAGGGCAATTGTTCTTAGGGTCGCTGAGTCCCAGTGGACTCTGCTGCACACCCCCACCCTCCACCCCGCCCAGTTCCCGCCCCGGCCCCGCCCCGGGTCCCGCCCCGCTGGCTAGTTCCCGCTCCGTCCCCTGTCCCCCACACTCGGCAGAGTTCCTGGTCACCTAGACCCTCGGACCCCGCACCATGCGGCCCTCGGCGGTGGCTGCCTCCCGCAGGCCCGAGATGGGCGAGGTGCTGCCCCAGCACAGGTTCGACCTCGCGGCCCTGGAGGACTACCTGCACCGGCACCTGCCAGGCTTCGCTGCCCAGCCGGGGTCCGAGTTCTCCGTGGCCCAGTACAGGTATCCACGCCACTTCCTTCTAATCTGCGCAAGAGCTGCTCGAGCAGGGACCAAGCTGGACCCACTGCCGAGTTGAAACTGACTCGTAGCAGGCACTTCAGCGGGTTTGCAGATGATGTAAATCGCCCGGGGGCCTTTGGTGGATTGGAACCGCTGGCGGTTAGGTTGACATCACAGCACCCCACCAGAGCTCCTGAATGCAATGATAGAAACGTGTTAAGTCAAGATTCCTCCAAGTGAAGAGCCTTGATCAAGTCAGGCATTTGAGGCTGGAAGACAGAGGCCTTCTCTCTTTTTATGCTGAAGTCATTAAGCCTTTTTTTCTAGACAGCAAACCCAAACCACTGCCCCCAAGTCTGTTCTGACGTTCAGTGACCCTGTAGGACAGAGAGGACTTTCTCTAGGGGGCACGGAGTGTGTAAATCTCTAAGGAGCACTGGTGGCCTCGTGGTAAGGAGCTGTTCCCCACACTGTTCTGATTCTAACTTCCCCTCCCAGGCCCGCTCGAGGCCTCAGCTCTTTGGCTTGGATTTTGTTTTGAAAGTGAAGGAGTCTCGGAGCTAGATGCAACAATCCTGAGTACAACTCCTCACCTTGAATCTGATTCTGCTGATAGTTTAGAAAATAAAGGAAAATTAACTGTATTCTGAAAAACAATTTCACTAACAGGAGCCTCTGACTTCTGTCACGGAGAACTTTATCACTTACCACGTATTATGTAAATCTGTTACATAAGGCCTTTGACAACTGTTTTTTAATCAGTGATACCTGCCCCCAGTGATTAGCCAAGAAGTAATGCGGGTGAAAGGTCGTACACAGTGCAATAACATTGCATAGTGGTGACGTGTGATTACTAGCATTTATATGCCTTGATTAGAGATTTCAGTGAAAATAAGAATAAACAAGAGGAGGAATTCGTTTTGGGTGTAGAATTAAGTCACCATGATGGAACTTCGTCTCACGGTCTTTGCGCGTTTTGCTAGGAAAAGCTGTTCTTATGGAGGGGCATGATGCTTGGGAAGGAGGAGGAATGATGAAGCAGATGAAAATCCTCAACCAGGTGGATTGACACAGTGACTGCAGCAACAGGCTTGAGGATGTCGGAGATTGTGAGGATGTACAGGACAGGATGGCATTCAGATATGCAGTTTATGGGGTTGCTGTGAGTCATGGCATGACTCTGCTGCTGTGAGGTAGATCCTGGCTGAAAGTAAAGAACACCAGAAGAATGTCAATTGGTGCTTTATTGACTGTGTAAAGGCATTTGACTGTGTGGATCATAAGAAGTTGTGGCTGACATTGAGAACATCATGGGGGATGGAGAAAAGATTGAAACTGTCAACAGTTTCATCTTACTTGGATCCACAGTTAACACCCTTGTTACCAGCAGTCCATAAAGCACAATAGATATTCTTAAGATATTCTTTACTTTCAGCCAGGATCCATCTGACATTCAGCAATGACATCCCTGAGGCCACAGCCTGTTCTAAATCCTGCTTGAACTTCTGGTAGTTCCCTATCTATGTACTGTTCTAGCCATTTTTGAATGATCTTCAGCAGTATCTTGTTTGCCTGTGGTATTAATGATACTGTTCCCTAGTTTCCACATTCTGTTGGATCATCTTTCTTAGGAATCAGAACAAATGTGAACCTCTTCCAATCTATTGGCCGGACAGCTGTCCTCCAGATTTCCTGACATACACAAGTAAAGCATATCTAGGACTGCACCTGTTAATGGAAACAAGTCAATTACTATCCTGCTGATTGCTGGGACCTTATTTTTTGCCAGTGCCTTCAGTGCAGCTTCCACTTCCTCCTTCATTACTGTTAGCTCTTGCTCTTATGATACGTCCTGAATTTTTTCAGTGTCAGTCAGTGCTTTTTGGTACAGTGAATCTATGTATTCCCTCCATCATCTTTTGATACTTCCTGACTCATTCAGTATATTGCTCATAACATCTTTCAATATTGAAACTCGAGGCTTAAAGTTGGTTTTTAGTTCTCTCAGCTTGAGAAATGCAGAGTGAGTTTTTCCCTTTTTATTCTCCAATTTCTGCGGTCTGCACATTCCATTATAATACTTTGCTTTGTCTTCTTGAGCTGCCCTTTAAAATCTCTGTTCGCTCTTTTAGTTTGTATATTTTCTCTTTGTTTTGGCTTCTCAAAACTCTAGTACAATTTTCAGAGTCTCTCCTGGCATCCATGGCAGTTTTTTTTCTTTCTCCTCTGTAGATGATATCCTTGGTATCATCTCACAGCTCATTTGATCTTTGCTCATGGGTGTTAAGTGCTTCAGACCTATTAAGATTATTTTGAAATTCAAATGGAAAAGATTTAAGATCATATTTTAGTTCTTGTGGACTTACTTTCATTTTCTTTGGCCTCAATTTTAACTCCCACATTAGTAATTGATAGTCTGATCCACACCATTAATAAAGATAATAAGGATGACAGAAGAAGAATTGATGCCTTTGAGCTGTGGTTTGGAGAAGCACACTGAACATCCCATGGACTGCTGAAGTACAAATATGTCTTACAGAGGGTGCAGCCAGTATGCTCTTTGGAGGCAAAGATTATGACGCTTTGCCTCACATACTTTGAGGACATTGCTAGGAGGGGCTATTCCTTGGAGAGGAACATGATGCTTGGAAAGGCAGAGGGCTGGCAAAGGAAAAGACCTCTGACCAGGTGGATTGACACAGTGTCTGCCGTAATGGGCTCTAGTGTGCCAGGAAGTGTGAGGACGGCACAGGAAAGGACAGAGTTGAGATCTGTTGTTCATAAGGTGGCTATGGGTCATACTCAACTCACTAGCACCTAACAACAACAAATCAGTGATGAGCTCTGGCGGCCTGGGAGGTATGGAGTCTCTGTCAACACAAAGCCACAGAGTTTGGATCCACCATCTGCTCCACAGGAGAAAGATGAACATTCACCTCCTGTACGATTCACAGACTCTGGAATCACGCTGGAGGGTTAACTGTGAGTTCGGACTCAATGACAAGGGCAATAACAGTGTATTAGTAAGAGAACATAAAATTGGTATATTCCATTTTAGGGAAATGAAATGAACTGCATTATAAAATACTTAGTAAATGCACGTGGTGAAAGTTTTACAAAATATCACATTTTTTTTCACACTAAAGAAGCTAAGTTAGCTTAATTGTTTCTACTGAGAAAAAAATTCATCAACCTCAACTTAAATCTTAAAAAGCCTCCTTTTTAAGTCTTAAATGAAAAGGTAGCATAAAGGAAAATTTTTTAATCACAGAAGAAGGACAGTAGGTTACAATATATTTAGCTGGGTCTTTATTCTCAAACATGTTATATTTGTAAACGTTTCCTTCAGTTCTTTGGCAGAGTCTTAAGTAAATTTGTTACAATTGAGCTGCCAAACAGTATCTACATCCACACATAAGGTCGCTAAAGAATACAATCTTCCCCAAGTCATTGTACTCTGAGGGGTCTTGAGCCTTTTGTGGTGAAAATGACCATTCTGTTGTGAAGTTTGTGATTATTAAAGTTAGGAATATGCATTAAGCAATTTCAACTTTGGGGAAAAGGTACTGTATTTTATCTTTTATGGAATCATATATACCTACGTGAGTAATATTTTACTTCCCTGGATTTGTAAACCAGTTCTTATGTAAGAATGAAAGCTTGCATTTCTTTGAATTGTGGTTTTGGCGCTGAGGATTGACTAGGCCAGACCATGAATGGTCAAAAGAGAAAGCACGTTTGTCTTGGAAGTTGTCCAGAATGCTCTTAGAAGCAGGGATGGTGAGACCTTGTCTCACGCACTCTGGGTGTGTTGTCAGGAGGGTCCAGACACTGGAGAATACAGCATGCTGGGTAAGATAGGGGGTCAGAAAAGAAGAGGAAGGCCCTCAGAAGCTGGACTGGCACAGTGGTTCTAGCAGTGGGCTTGAGCAGGGCATCGAGTGTGAGGACAGTGTGGTACTGGACCACGTCTGCTTCTGTCCACGGGTCCCCAGGAGTCAGCTAACTCAACAGCATACAACAACCACAAACACTACTACTTATTGGCTGCTGTAGTGCATTCTTACTCAGACATGTCCACATTGTTTCAGAGGGAGAATCTATTTGAAAGAACTTCATACACTTTGTTCCTCTTCCTGCAAGATCCAAATTTGTCAAAGTGGTGTGGTGTGTGTGGTGTGCATGGTGTGATTACCTACAAGCCGTCTCTGGCCCTCAGGACTTCTTTTGAAAGGAGCACTTTTTTATTTGCTTTGTCATTTGCTTGTTTTTTCCTAACACTTCTGTTATGGGGAGTTGCCTGTTAACCCATATTTGGCAGCCGATTAAAACACACTTGGAAGCAGGAGTGGCATCCACTTTCAAAATAGCTTGTCTCTGGAAACCCTGTGACCTTGGAGAAAGGATGAAATTTATACAAGTATTCAGGTCTTTCATTCATAGGATCGCTATGAGTTGTCCAGGACTCGATGGCACTTAACAACAACAACAGCAAGAGAACTCAGTTGGCCTAGTGGACAGAAAGTAGTGCTACCAAGCCAAAGGTGGTTGATTTTAATCTGTGGCCCTCAGACCTGGTTTTAATTGTTTTTGGTCAAACATTCTTCAAGTGGAATAGCACTGGTCTGTCCATTTGCTGTGCAGAGGTAACTCGTGGGTGCTGTGATGCTGAGCATGATTTGGCACTATTTGGTTTTTGTTTTGTTTTGTTTCCAAAATTTGTAAAATCTTCTCTTAAGTTATCTAAATGCCAATCAATGACTAACAAAGGTCTACTCACATCCTTAAGCTTATTTCTGAAGGCTGGAGAGTTTAACTTGTCCAGTGAAAATGCTTTATTCTTCTACGTCACCAACACCCTCTTGCTGCAGGTATGGCTCTAGAGCCACCTTGGGCTACGGCTCTTTATCTGCTTTCTGCTCTGGGGCAGAGAGAGGTTGTGCTATTCTTACTCTCTCTTGTCCTTTCAGAGAGATGCTCATGGTCCTATGCCTCCATGTCCAGTTCTTTGTTTTTCAGACACAGGGATAATATTGGCTGAAAGCCGAGAATATGAGAAAGATGTTTACTCCTCTATATTGATTATGCAAAGATTATTTTACAGTATGGATCATGATAAAGTAATAACATTAAGAATGAGAACCCCAGAACACTGAATTATCCTTATACATAGACCAAAGAACAGTTGTCTGAACAGAACAAAGGAACATTGTATGATTTAAGATCAGTAAAGATGTGTGTCAGGGTTGTATCCTCTGTACAATGCTTGTTAATTCTGTATGCTGAGTGAATAATTCCAGAAGCCAGACTGCAAAAGGAGAAGTTGCAGCGTGAGAGTGGCTTAGTCTGAATTGTACCTGCTTCATAAAGGGGAACTGTCCCAGTCGTCCATAGCAGGACTGGCAGCTCCTTCCTAAACAGTATGCCTCTGGAAGCTCTATGAACTTTTACTAAATGACGATAGTTACAGAAAAGCTTCAGGCCTTCTGTTCAGATGGTCACTATCAGTTGTGCTTGGCTTGGTGGCAGTCAACAACAACAGTAACATACAAATAACTAAATGGTCAGACATGCCACCTCACATATTCCTGCACCTATTTCTAGCAATCCATTGTTTGTTGCAAATTGACTCGCAGATTTTACTGACATTTGTGGAGTTTATTAGGGGGATAGGATGAGGAGTGGAGGAGGCAAAGAATATCTCCAATACAAGTCCAGTAGACCAAAGCCTGATTAACAGCCAGTCACAATTCCTTAGTGAATTCATTAGTGAATGTCCAGGTTCAGTTCAGCAGCACAACTACAGAAGCCTCTGATTTCCTCAATCATCCAGCAAACTTTATCTCAAAGCAGTTATAAGTCAGCTTTCCCTCCAGTTATCCAGCAGGTAAAACATTTAACTGGCCTTTATCCTAGAACAATTATAAGTCAGCTCTTCCTTCAGTCATCCAGTAAGTGTCACTGTCAGTTCACCAGCAGCTTAACAGCGACACCCTGATGGGGTAAGCACGACACCACTCCAGGGGAGGACCAGAGAGTCCATCCAGCTCAATTTTATTGGGGTCTGCAGCGCACTTACATACAATCATGTAAACAGGAAGACAGGATAGGGTGGGCTTGCAGATGTGAGACATGCAGATTGGTTAGGAGAACTTCGGCCTTATGCAGACCAATCCCACCTCAACAGACGTGGCAGCTGTCTTCCCAGGTGGCAAGCTTTCTCAAGCTGTTAAAGCCAAACACAGGGGAGCTTTCTCTACTATTAAAGGCCGCTGGGAGGCTTGCACTTATCTGGAGCTTAGGTGCTCTTTCCTGCCCAGAAGCCCTCCCTTCCTTCCCAACATTCCGCAACAAGTAAGCAGAACCTTACATTGTGCTTGGTTCTTCTGGTTTATCTCAGAGCATTGTCACAGTGCCGTCTCTCACTGTGTCTTCACGATCTCTCCACCACCACCATCACTGTTTTTCAGTGTGGAAAGCACTCTCTTATATTATCCCCACAGCTATTGATGATTTGCAAGACCATGTGTCCTCAGTTAAGGTAGCTGGAGATGATGCCCCTAATGGGGGCTAATACAAGGGCTAGAAAAGCCATTTTTCAGGGGTTCTGACACCCCATGGACTATGTGAAGATGAATATGGCATCAAGATTGGAGGAAGACTCATCAACAAATGGCTTTATGGAAATGACAACCTTCTTCGCAGAAAGTAAAGTAGATGTGCTGTACTAATATAGATTAAGGACTGCAGCCTTCAAAATGGGTCACATCTCAACATTAAAAAAAAAATTCTTCATAAATGGGCCAGTAGGCAGCATCATGTTACAGTGGTTGAAGTTGCCAACGACTTCCGTTTACTTGACCATTAGGTGTCCAGGGATATAAATGGTAAAGCAAGGAGGCTGTCCATTTTCTACCTCAGTTGCTTATGAATTCAAGACACTAGATTGTGTGGCCTTTTGGTTCCCAGCACAGCGCAGCTTAGACCACAGCACAGAGTTCCCTGAATCACAAGAGTCATCCTTGCTTTGGGGATGTGACAATTTCTGAGCATAACGTAGATTCCAGAATGGGTTAAAAAGTGTCCTCCCAGCTTCTGCCAAAGTACATCCATCTGCAACTTTTTAATTTTTTAACTTTTCTGTGTGCTTTTCCACTTTTTTGCTTTCTTTGCTCAGTGTTTGGAGAAACGATCTCACATGATGTTAGTGTACTCATTTGATCTTCATTGGCATCTATTTTGCTCTCTAGATCACCTCTTGATTTGGGAGTGGGATGAATTATGTTAGCTTGCCCCCTGCCCTCACCTCCTCCTACTGCCAAGAACTCTGATCACAATCGTCGTAGCTCATTTTTGTTATTTTTATGGTTGAAGTTCCCCCCATAAATCACTCAGATAATATTACTTGTAAGCATGTCAAATCTTTTTGTCATTTCTTCCTAGTACTTCTTATGCCAAGGATTGATCCTTCTGTTTGCTTAATGTGGGGCCTTGCCTCCATGCTGTTGGATTCTTCAAGAGTTGAGTGGTTCTTAATTATCTGTTGTAAATAAGGTACTGTTGTTGTTTACTGCTGAGTCAGAGCCAGTTCATAGCTGAACCTCCAGGAGGTTACAGAGGCAGTTTAATTACACAAGAGATAGACCACCTTTTTCCTGTAGAGCAGCTGCTAGACTCGAATCATATGCTTTTAGGATTGCAGTGTGGCTTCTTAGCAGTATCCCATCAGAGTTCCCTAAGTAAGGCTCCAGATTGATAATATTGGAAACTGGAGTGTATTCGTGTAGTCCCTGTGCAAATGTATGTCCCCTAGTAGGGAGAGCTGGTACCTGACACCTGTGAGATGCCTGGGTCTGCTGTGCTGCCCTGGTCCAGATGCTTTTGAGACCTCTCTGTGTGACAGCTCCCCTGTGGAGAGCCGTGGTCCTTCAGGTGTGAAAACTTCCCTGTGGAGGGTTGTGCTTGGTAGGAGATGTGGTCACATCTGATGTGAGTATTCATCCATGGAGAGCTGTGGTCGCAACTAGTGTGAAAACTCATCTATGGAGAGCTGTGGTCGCATCTGGTGTGAGAACTCATTTGTGGCGCTGAGCTCAGTGGAAGACATGGTCACATCTAGTGCAAGAACTCATCAGTGGAGCTGAGCTCAGTGGAAGATGTGGTCACATCTGGTGTGAGAACTGTGCTTGGTAGGAGCTGCGGTCACTTCTGGTGTGAGAACCCCCCTGTGGAAAGCTGTGGTCACTTTTGGTGCGAGAACTCTCCTGTGGAGAGAGTGTTCACATCTGGTGTGAGAACACCCCTGTGGAGAGCTGTGCTTGGTGGGAGGTGTGGTCACAGCTGGTGTGAGGACCCCCCTGTGGAAAGCTGTGTTTGGTGGGAGCTGTGGTCACATCTGGTTCGAGAACCCCCCTGTGGAGAGCTGTGGTCACTGAGCGCTGGGCGTTGGTCACACACTCAGGGCAGATAGTGGAGTGTTCACCCAGCCCTCTCTGCATCCATCCTCTACCTGTTTGCTGGTCACCAGCCTGTCTCCTGCCTGTTTTTGTTGCCTGGGAGGCTGTAGCCTTTTTTTGAGGGGTGTTTCCAGTAATACACATATATTTTAGAGGAGGGGACCCTCTCTTCTGCTTGTCATTCACTGACAGTCTGTTGTCACCATTATTATTGTGGTGTCTAGGATTTATTGTTCAAAATGGCCTTTTTAGCCATTGACTTTGACTTTGCCACATGAATGTATGGGATCATGCAAATAGGGTTTAGGGTTCCCAGAAGAAGATTGGCTAATCTTGCTATTAAATTGAGTGTATTCAGCAACAGAAATTCACCCCTAGCAAAGAAGCAGGAGAGAATGCAGCATGCGTCCCTTGGGGCCAGAGATTCCTGCACCGCTGTGAGGGGCCTGCAGGAGCAGCGGCAGCAACCAGAGCAGAGAGCCAGAGACCCAGCGTGAGACAGAGCTGACCTGGGACTGCTGTCCCACGGAACCAAAACGGGGCCCTTGCTCAAGCTTGCTGGAGGACTGCTGGGGAAATGCCAGAATTGGCAGGAACAGAGCTTTGTCCTGCTAATTATGTAATCCTGACCTAAAGCTGTGAGGTGAAGAGCCATGAGCGCACTTTCAAAGCTGTGCTGATTGAGAGATTGTGCCCTGTGGCCAGCCTGGACTGAATCCTGTTAAGGTCCCTGGCAAACCTCATGAAAGCAAGTATGGTTCTTTGTGATCAGCGAAGCGATTGCAGTGAATCCCAGACCTCGTAGGGCAGGCAGGAAGGAGAATTAGTCTAAATAGGTGTGAGAATGTGGGGGACATGTCTGCCCTTATGGGAATTGGTTTTGTGCTGTGGATGCTGTTGATGGGACAGTCCCCCCTGTGGAGCTATCAGAGGTCAGGCTTGGCCGTCTCCTCGCCGTCCTTGCTATTTTTACAGTTACCGTCAGAAATGCCTGCTGTGGGCTGCAGCCCTTGTCATCTTCCATCCCTGACATGGCTTGTTTTCATGTCATGTTCCTTCTGACTTACAGCAGAGCTTGAGGAAGATGGAAAAAGTGTGTTTGTAATTGACTCTTCTCTGCTCTTACCTAGATTAGGACAGTCCAATCCCACCTTTCATCTGAAGAAGGGCACCCGGGCCTATGTGCTCAGGAAGAAGCCACCAGGCGCACTGCTCCCGAAGGCGCACAAGGTATGGCAGACGCGGCCCTGAACGTGCTGGTGTTACATGTAGTAATTGTCTTTAAAAGGGATTCCTTTCATGACCACAAACAGAAAATGCATTATCCTCTTAACAAGGTTAGTATTTCTCTTGATTTGTAAAATTTCACTTTTCATTTTTAGAAAGTATTTGGAGGTGAAATCTCCGGCCAGTGCTTTGTGGGTTTAAGACTGTCCTGTATAGTTGACCGGTAGTGTGACCATTCAGAGGGAATTTGCAGGCCTGCTCATTGATGCTGTTTTTCACTTTGTTGCTGTTGTTGTAATATGTCACTGAGTCACCTGCAATTCATTGTGCCCCTATGTACAGTAGCTCTGAATGCTGGTCTATCCTGAGCCAATCTCACTGTCTCAGACACACCTAACCCCATTACTCCGTTTACTGTGTCATTCCATCTCATCTGGGGTCTTCCCCTCCTGCGCTGTCCCTCCATCCTTCCAAGCATGACGTCCTTCTCCAAGGACTGGTCCCTCCTGGCAACATGCCCAAAGTATGTGAGACAGAGCTTCAAAATCCTAGCCTCCAAGGTGCAGCTTGGTTCACTTTCTCCAAGACAGACCTATTTGTTCTTTTGGTGGCCCATGGTATGTTCAAGACTCTCCTCTAGCACCAAAACTCAATGCCATCAATTCTTCTTCTGTCATTTCCCCCCCGCCATTGTCCAGCTTTCTGATGCATAGCAAGTAATTGTGAAGACCATGGCCTGGATCAGCCACACCTTAGTCTCTAGACTGACATCGTTGCTCTTTAACACTCTTGAGAGGTCCCTGACAGCAGATTTCCCCCATGCAATATAGTCTTTTCATTTTCTGACTGCTGCTGCCGAAGAGTTGATTGTGGAGATGAGTAAGCTCAAATTGTTAACAACCTCAATCTCTTCTCCAACCATCATGATGCTGCCACTTGGTCCAGTGGTGAGAATCTTTGTCTTCTTGATGTTGAGCTTCAATCCATATTGCAGACTACAGTCCTTGACTTTTTGCAACAAGTGCTTCAGGTTCTGGAAGAATAAACATCCCTGCAGCCCTCTGGAGTCCAGTTTTGCTCTGATCAATGGAGGGTCTACATCCATGGGAATCTGCCTGATGGCTCCTGAGTTTTGTGAGATTTTGTTTTGTTTCTGAATCTCATCTAACACCTACCTTCCAGGCCCATCTCCACAGGAAGGACCTCCGAGGGGTGTGGGCAATAGGGCAAATGATGGGAAGGCAGATTCTTTGTGTTCTGGCATCCTTTCTGTTTCTGAGTTGCATCCAGGTCATGGAATCACCTGGATGTTTATGTTTGAGAGCATTAGGAAGCTTCTGCTTCACCTTCTCCACATGGCGTGGCTGGGAAACGGCAATTTGTTTCCGCTCCCTTCGTTTCTCCAAAACCTGCATGACAGAAGACTTTCGCGCTCTGCCAGCTTCACCCCCTTTCCCTTCCTCACCACCATTTCTCCTTCCCAGCACCAGTTGTGTGGCCCACGGAGTTAGTAGGGGCTTTTAAAATCTATTCTTCTTGTAAGAGAACTCTGGTGGCAAGAAGCTGCACTGTAGTCCCAAAGGCATGAGGTTCTAGGCCACCAGCTGCTCCGTGGGAGAAGGATGGACAATCTCCTCCCGTGCAATTAACTGCCTCTGAAAACCTGCCAGAGGGTCAGCTATGAGTTGGCTCTGACTCAGTGGTACAATAATAATACAAATTCTTGTTGTGGTAAGAGATGGGTCTTTGTCATACCTCTCCTCGCTCCCCTGTCATGCCCCCTCCTTGCTCCTCCTCACCCACCCATCAGCATGCAGCTTCACATTTAAGTAACAGTGAGAGCATCTGCTGTGTGCTGTTCTGTGCGTGAACAATAGACACCTGGCCAAGGCATGCGGCGGGAGTCTTGAGGGTGAAGGTTCTAGGTCAGCCTGATGGGCCATCAAGTTCAGCCTTTGGCTGTTAGGGGGTGATATGGTCCCTCTTGAACTTGTGATCTGATGTGGTCATCTTTTATTTGCACATAACATTGATTTTTGTATAACAGTCTGGTATTTGGAACCTAACCTTGTAGATAAGTTAAGCATCTTTGCCAATTATATTAATACACATAAAGATGTCTTACTCCATGTGAGATTTCTAAATCGTCGGTGGATCTCCTTTGCCCTCCAGCCTCTCAGTCACATGACTAGTCATGAAATCCACTTTGTCCATTTGAGGTTCTGTATTGTCCTGTGTGTCCGTGCAGAGAGAGCAAACACAGTCCAGAGGACATCCCACTAACCCTTCAGACCAGGCCGGAGTGTGAGGGGTAGGTCCTTGAGGTGTTGTCTGGACCTGGCCCTACAGTCTGAAAGATATAGATAGAACTTGCTTTTGTCAGAACTTCCAGAAATAACTGGACCCTTCGGCCACCCATGCTGATCAGAGCGAGTCCATGGTGATATGTAAAATTACATAACGGGCCAACCACTTGAATTGTAGTGATAAACTATCTAAAACCAAGATCACTGGCATCCTGTTAACGCCCACCCCAGGAACCTGGTGCTCCTGGAGGGCCCTGAACCTCCTCTTCCTGCCAGTGCTTTTTCTGCCTCCTAACAGCAGTGGTTCACCTTTGATATGAACACAGCACAGAGTAAGGAAACCTGGGAATTGTGAGTGGGTTTTTAAAAAATTACTTGAAACATCATTTATTATAGTAAGGTGTCCTTAGAACAGTGTGAATTTGAGGCCTGTCTGAGCAGAGAAGCTGAGGCAGCTTTCATGTGGTTATGAGTTTGGGGAGATGCACCTCTGGAAGAAGCCATCCTGGCAGACGTAACATGAGCACACTTTGGGGTTGCTGAGGACGTGCACTGTGGGGAAGCCTCTGACAGGGAGCAAGGTTGCTGAGTTATTGATCCACCTGGAAAACTCACTTGGTCAGCTCTGGCTTAATAGTGATACAACTAAGAATACTTGAAAGCAAATTAGTAATATGTGATGTTTGTGTTAGCGTTTATTTCTGGGCTTTTTGAATATATGTTTCTAATTGTTAATAATCCATATTCCCATTTAGATTGACAGAGAATTTAAGGTCCAGAAAGCCTTGTATTCAGCTGGCTTTCCTGTCCCACAGCCTTTGCTGTACTGCAGCGATGTCTCCGTTATTGGGACAGAATTTTATGTCATGGAACATGTGCAGGTAAGTTAGCATTTAGTCTGACCTTCACAGGGCCTTGATTTTTCAATATGTAGCTAAAATTAAGCCAAACAAAACCAGCTTGTTACAGGTGAGTCAGTTACAGTCTCATCAGGTTTTTTCACAGGAGGAAAACACCTTCATTTTCTCAGGCAGAGTGGCTGGGGGATTTGAACTATAGACATTTTGATTAGCAGACTAGCACTTAGTCTCCTAGACCACAAGGTGGTGGTGGTGTGAGACCCCCATAGAGTCAACTGTGACTCACAGCAACCCTGTGAACAGCAGAGATGTGCCATCCTCACCCCCTTGATGTGCTCCAGCCACGCCTGATGTGCTCCAGCCACAGGCTGTCCGTCTGTCTCATTGAGGGTCTTCCTCTCTTCCTCTCATCCTCCACCTTTCCCAGCATAATGATTTTTTTCCCCAAAACTGGCCCCTTCTGACAACATGCCCAAAGTACGTGAGCCACATAAATTTTGTGGTGAGATTTTGCTAAGTAATGGAATTTCTTATTCAACCTTTTAGATGACTAGAGAGCTTTGCAAAAGCTTGAACTTTTGTCTTAACTTCAACCCAAATATGTAAGAATGATGGAATAGAGAGAGCAGGAACCCTTCCCTACTTAGGGCTTCTTGAGCTATTCTCGCAATTGTCTCTAGGGGTCAGTAATGTGCTGCAGGTTCAGGCAGCAAACCCTCCTCTGGACTGGAGGTGGGGGCAAGGGATGCCGGGGGAAGACCACGCCACTGAGAACCAGAAATTGTCAAGTGATTGTTTAAAAAAAGCTCTTGCCAAATCTACCTTGAGAATTTATGATCTTTAAGTTCATCACTTAAGTTCAAATGTGGTAGTCTGAAATTGATCAAACGTAATTAAAATGTGTTAATGATAACTGGTGTCTGGATACAAAAGTTGGAAGCAGTGATGAAGAATTGGTAGTTGGAAAGTGAGGACTTCGTGACAGAAAGGAGACCAGAAATAGGACAATTGAATTTTGTACAATCAACGATTTACTCATTAGAAATACCTTTTCAAAAACATGCAGACAGTAACTTTACACATAGACGTCACCAGATAGACTGCATAGGAATCAGATTGACTGTATCTGTGAAGGAATTGTTGGAGAAGCTCAATCCCAGCAGTCAAAACAATGCCAGATGCTGACTGTAGAACCAGTCAGCTCATGTGCAAGTTCAAATTGAGGCTGAAGAAAATGAAAACAAGTCCTCAAGAACTAAAATATGATCTTAAGTTGTTCCCACCTGAATTTAAAAATTATCTTAAGAATAGGTTTGAGGCACTGAATACAAGTCTCAAAGACCAGAAGAGCTGTGGGATGATATCAAGGATCTCATTCATGAAGGCAGCAAAAATTATCATTTCAAAAGCATAGGAGAAAGAAAAAAAACCAAAATAGATGTCAGAAAAAAATGGCACTAAAGCCCCAAGAATCCAAACAAAGAGAAAAGATGCAGAAGGAAATGAGCTGAACAGAAAATTTCAAAGGCAAGCTTGAGATGACATAGCAAAGTCTTATAATGGAATATGCAGAGATCTAGAATTGGAGAATAAAAAGGAAAGAACTTGCTCGGCATTTCTCAAGCTAAAAGGGCTGAAAAAAAAAAAATCCAAGCCTTGAGTTGCAAGAGTTAGGGATCCTATGAGCAAAATCTTGAATGACCCAGGGAGCATCAAAAGAAGATGCAGGGAGTACCCAGAAGCACTGTACCAAAAGGAATTGGCTGACACTGAAATATTTCAGGAAGTACCAGGTGATCAAGAGCCATTAGTTATTAAGGAAGAAATTCAAGCTACATTGAAGGCATTGACAAAAAAAATAAGGCCTCAGGAATCAATGGGACACCAATTGGAAAGTTTCGAATGACAGACAGAGCCCTGGACATTCTCGTCAGCCTATGCCAGGAAATTTGGAGGGCAGATCTCTGGCTGGCTGACTGGAGGAGATCCATATTTGCTCCCATTCCCAAGAAAGGTGGTTCAATAGAATATGAAAATTATCAAACAACATCATTAATATCACATGAGAGCAAGATACTGTTGAAGATCATTTTTAAATGGCCAGAACAGTACATAAAAAAGGAACTGCCAAAAATTCAAGCAGGATTTAGAAGCTGTCATAGCATCAGGGATATCGTTGCTGATGTCAGATGGATCATGGCTGAAAGCAAAGAATACCAGAAGAATGTCTGTTTCTGCTTTATCGATTATGTAAAGGCATTTGACTGTGTGGATCATAACAAACTATGGCTAACATTGAGAAGAATGGGAATCTCAGAACACTTAATTGTGTTTATACAAAACCTATACCTAGACCAGGAAGCTCTGTTTTTTTATGCAAACAGAGCAAGGGAACACAGAATGGTTTAAAATTAGGAAAGGTGTGAGACAGGCCTGTATCCTTTCTCCAAACCTGTTCAGTCTGTATGCTGAGCAAAATATTCAAGAAGCTGGATACTATGAAGAAGAATGTGGATCAGGATTGGAGGAAGACTCATCAGTAACCTTCATTATGCAGATGTCACATTACTTGCTTAAAGTGAGGACTGGAAGTGCTTGCTGCAGAGGATCAAAGACTATAGCCTTCAATACAGATGGCATCTCAACATCAAGAAAATAAAACAAAACAAAATCTCGTCCCTGAACCAATAGGCAACATAATCATGATAAATGGAAAAAAAAGATTGAAACTGTCAATGACTTCATCTTACTTGGATCCACAATCTATACACTTGGTATTAGCAATCAAGAGATCAAAGAGTTATCCTTCTATTTTTACAATAATGGTCTTCTGCAGTATTTGTCCTTGTAATACTGAGTTAGTCAGCATAATGCTCTCCTAACTCTCCCAAGTTATGGTCTGTTTTTCAAAATTGTTGCTCCTGAGTGCTGCCTAGTATTCCATTGTGTGAATGTACCACAATTTCTCAATCCATTCAGTTGTAGTTGGACATTTCTGCTGTTTCCATGCTCTTGTGATCCAGTGTGACTTGAAAAGACTGGATAAACATGGGCAAGGTCCAATGGTGATTGATTTTCTGAAACATAATGCATGGGAATGATTGTATGATGCACCGTAGGAATGAAGAATAGTGTGAAACAAAATGTATACAGACTTTGTAAGCCAACATGGAAAAGAAATAAAATGTTTAAAAAGATATCAAAGAGATGTATTGCAGTGGAAAAAGTCTGCCACCAGGGACTACTCCAAATTATTGAGAAATAATAATAATGTTAGTTTCAGGTCTAAGGTACTCCATAGTCAGACCATGGTCTTTTCAGTCACTTGTTATACAGCTGAGATCTAGACAATGAATAAGGATGACAGGAAAAAAATGCCTTTGAACTGGAGTGATGAAGAAGAGTGCTGCGTATCCACAGATGGCCAAGAGAACAAGCAGATACGCCTTGCAGCAGGTGCACCCAGAGCGCTCCTTGGGGGCACAGCTTCATCTCACAGACTTTGGCCATGTTGCTAGGAAGACCATTCACTGGAGATGGACATCATGCTTGGGAAGGTGGATGGCGAAATAGAGGAAGATTCCCAGCCAGGTTGTTTGACACAGTGACTGCAGCAATGGGCTTGCGTGTGTCAGAGATTGTGAGGTTGACACAGATAAGACAGTGTTCAGATCGGTTGTTCATAGGATTGTTTTGAGTTGTATTCAACGCGAGGGCACCTAACAACAACAACATCACAAAGGAGGAGATGGCCATCTTTCTCGTGCAGAGCAGTGGCTGGGTTAGAGCCACGTGCCTTTGAGTTGGTGGTGTGGCTCCTTCCCGCTGGCCACCAGAGCTTCCTCTAGGCTCTAGGTAGTGCACAGACAAAGCATATAGAACGTATTTACATAGGGGTGTGGATGTGTGCATTGATCTCTCATGGAGTTGACTGGTGCAAAATGTTGTTAATTTTGGATCATCCTCCCTTTCACAGGGGAGAATCTTCCGTGACTTCACACTTCCTGAACTTAGCCCAGCAGAGCGCACAGCCATCTATGTTGCCATGATGGAGACCCTGGCCCAGCTGCATGCCCTGAGCGTGCGGTCACTACACCTGGAGGACTATGGCCGAGGAGCTGGTTACTGCAAGAGGCAGGTAACCATCTACAGAGTGCTGCGTTCTCAGGTTGTGGGGAGTGCTGCCTTCTCAGCACTCTGGTGGTTGGGAATAACATAGTGGGTGTTTGGGTTCAAACGCTACGCTCTAGCCGGCTGCTTCATTTCTTGGAAGTCATCACAAGAGTGTGTCATTCCGAGCGTGGAGGCGATGGGCCCTTGTTAGTCATGAGAAGGTCCTGGGAGAGCTCGTCTCACAGCGAGTGTTTGAGGGAGTGACACTTAGGTGGTGAGGAAGGACGCCGAGCCCTCCACCTCACGGGAGCCCCCGCCCAGGTGTGTCTGGAGTCCTGCCCCCATCATCTAGTCATGTGGGGGTTTGGGAAGGCTGAGGGGAGAAGGGGACGGAGATTGGGGGTGTACTCAGTTTATATAACGTGCCTTGTGAGGTGGACCTCTTTATCTTTCCAAATAATCATCAGATGTGGATATTCTACTTACTCCCTTTTGTAAATGAGGAAACTGAGGCTTAAATGAGGATTAAATGATGTACCACCAGCCAGCTTGCATGAACTTTCAGCCCGGGTCTGTATGAGAGAGCACTCCTTGCCACAGAGGAGATTCGGACATGCCCACCCCACAGAGTAGAGCTGTGGCTGATGTGGTTTCAGTGGCTGGTGTTTTGAGGTCGTCACTCCGAGGTCACGTCCCAGACTCCTGTCTGTGGGTGAGGAGGCAGATGTTAGTCCTTGACACCATCTCAGACTCCACAGAGTGATGAACAGAGGGGCAGACAATGTGGCCCTGGTGGGTGGCTGATTTGTTTATGAAGAGCACTGGGCAGTCTTCCCACTTCTGTCTGAGTAAAGCATCAGAAGACCCTGGGAGTAATAGGAAAGGGCCCTCAAATCAAGGTGGCAGCTGGAGATTCTTCTGCCACTCTTTTTTAGGATTTTCTTTCTTCATGTGACCCTTCCAGAAATATTCTGTGTCTCTGTGTGAGCACACATTATTTCTTTTTTCTGCCATGGAATAGTTGCAGGGAAAAGACTAGAACCTTTGTCTCTTCTTGTCCCTCTAGTCCTTTTATTTGTCTTTTTTCCTGATAAAAAATCTGGGTGTGTAAAATGGAGCCAGCTACGAAGAAGCTGATAGTTGCTAACTGGCCTTTGGAAGTCAGAGTAAGTGGCTGTCACTGAAGTGTTTTGAATATAGGATCGTGGCCTCATGCCCCACCTCTGCACACTGTCTTCTTCATCATTAGGTCTCAACCTGGACCAAGCAGTACCAGGCCGCCGCTCATCAGCACATCCCCGCCATGGATCAGCTGTCTGACTGGCTAGCGAAAAACCTACCAGAGAATGACAAGGAAGAGTGCTTGATTCATGGGGATTTCAAACTGGATAACATGGTTTTTCACCCTAAAGAGGTACGTCACATGCTCTGAGCAGGTGTGATGTGGCCTGAGTGTTGTATCTGAGCACTGAAGGGGCCCTCCTGTCACCTTTCTAGCTCTGCAGTTGAGGATCCTTGTAGGGTCATTAGGAAATCAGTCCTGGTCACTTACTAGTGCAGGGAGCTGGCCCCCTAAGACCAGTTTCCAAGTGCTGGCCACTTTGGGGGTAAGTGCTGCCTTTAGGGAAACCTGTGCTGAGAACAATGTAAAGTTCTCAGAGTCCCATATCCTAGTGGGAAATTGACTTTAGTCTTCTCCAGATTTTCAGATGTCTTAGAGACGAAGAGTTAACTCTAACTTAACTTACTCATTTGCTGCTTTTCACACCTTTTCCCCACAGAAATGGGAACAAGAATACTGTTATCAGTCACATTGCTGCCAGAATTAATCAGGTAGCTCAAACACCAAAGTCCAGATAATGTAAAATGAGTGAGCACATTCGTCAGCAGGACAGAATTTTTTTCCTAGAGAAGTGAGTTTAGGTTTGAAATCTTGTCTGTATAATTAATGTGTGCACTCCTGGTTATGCACAGTTAGACACCCCACCACTGACTGAGACCCCCCAGAGGAGCCACAGGGCGGCTGAGTATCACTGCTGGAAGGTCACCGGGCCACCAGCAGTGGCCAACCGCTCAGTACCCGCACACACCTCTTATACGTGACGTCTGCAGCCTTTTGTCAGGGGGTCCAGGTAATTTTTATTCTAATTTTATTAGGAAAAATAATTTACATTTTTAACCTTGGAAAATCCAAGACATTTATACTTTCAAGTGAGCAGAATTGAGCCCGTATTCAGAATCCTTGCCTCCGTCTGAATGTCTTCTGCTGCAGTGTCTGTTCATATCCTCTGCTCATTTGTTGTTTGCAGTTTGGGGGATTTTTTGGCCGATGTTGTTGAAATGTTTAAGTTTTCTAAAAGTTTTAGCAATTAGTCTCCTATTGTTGTTGTTAAGTGCCGTCGAGTCGCAGGCGACTCATAGCGACCCTATGAAGGAGAGTCCTTAATGCTTGGGTGCCTGTCATCCTCTCTCCAGGTTCATAGGGTTTCCAGAGGCAAGCCATTATAGAAGTGGATGCCACTCCTCCTTCCAAGCTTGTTTTAATCGGGGAGCTCCACCCCACTCTCTGTCCGCATTGGGTAACCAGCCATTAATGCATTTGACACATCAGTGTCACAGTGTTCAGCCTCACAGCAACCACAAGTGACCGCGGTACAGCAACTTGCACACCAGGGCTATATGACCTAGAGGAATGTCTGGCTTGGTAGTCTCCTATTAGATATGTAATTTCCAAATTTCCCCCTAGTCTGTAGGCTCTCTTGTAACATAAAGGTTTCATTTTCTGAAGGTCTCAGCTGTAGACTTAGCTTCTATGGTTTAGGGTCTTCAGTTTGTCCATATTTTTTTTCTGTGATGATCTTTATGCTTCAACGTTTTAAATTTAAGCCTTTGATCCATCCAGAGTTGTAGGGTTTTTTTTTAATATGGTGTGAAGTATGATTCTTATATTTTTAGTAAAATGATATCCAGTTGTCTCATTTTTTTATTCTTACTTTTTATATTGAAATATTGCTGGACTCAAAAGAATTTGTAAAAGTTTTGTGTATTAGTCACCAAGATGCCCCTGAGGCAGCCCCCAAATAGCGGTCATCTCAGTCTTCAGAAAAGCAATATGGCAAAAATAAATCTTTCAGAATATGTCTTAAAAGGTAAACATTAGGTGTAGGGAATGAAGTAATAGGAGACTTAACAATTGCTCATTTCCGTAATATTTATAATTTGACGTTTGAGGGTGTTTTTTGTTTTAAAAACAAGTATGTCTTCTTTTTATCACTAGAAAATATAGCAACCATTAAGAAATAAAGCACAACCCGCTTTGAATGATAAAATTTCTGGGAATCTGTGGGGTTGGCCAGTAATCCTGACTAAAGAGAAAGCAAACCAGAAGCAGGTCACTCACTCAGTGTCTTATCTTCAGAGCCTCCCAGTTACTTATGGGAAGTATTTGAAGCATGTCTGAATGAGGATTGAGTATCACAACATCTCAAAAAGAATCCAAACTATGAACAGTAAGCTATTGATTAAACATTGTCATTAATTACATTAATTAGTTGTAATCGTTATAAAACCATATGTCTGTAAATTATTGCATGAAAATGCAATATAATTTATACACTTTCACTCAAGGAAAATGAAAAGAAATCCAGTTTTACACTTAGAAAATATTGCTAATTTGTCCAAATATAAATATGAACCATGTGAAGTTTCTTGTTTTTTAAATTTTGGAACTTATTAAAAATCTATTTATTATCACTTTAACTTAAAAAACAAACATGTAATTTTTATATTCAGCATGTAATTCCATAGTTATTTCTTCTGCAGTGAGTAACTGGTGTCCAGTGTAAAAGATGACACTTCCGAGCCCCTCTGTCCAGCCTGATGCCGTGAGAGCTGGAACCCACCAGAACAGTCTTGTTCTCTGCATCTCGCAAGTTTGGCGACATGGACAGGGACAGTCTTCCTGCTTTCCTGTCATTTTTAGTGGAACACATTGGAATTTTCTTTCTTTCACAGATTTCTGCCTTACAAAGCTCTGGGTTTGTAAGGCTTACTGTATTAGCTTATAGAAAAAAATATTTATGCAAAATATTTGTAGTTTTATCTTATTTTTAATTTCTTTAGTGTCTCTAAAAATGTGAGTATAGTTGGAAAAAATACATAATTTAATTTTATAGCTAGAAAAGATGAAGATTTTCTTCCTGACATTTTCACTTCAGAATTTTTTTACAAAGATAATCTTTAGTTATGAACCAGGTTTTACATTCAAGTCCTCAGACTTGCAGCTCTGCACAATTCTGTCTCCTCTGCACCTACTTCTGCTTGGGACAGGCCAATGTCCTTATCTTTAACCACCTCACCTTCTATTTCATTCTTCACACCTCCCCCGAGAGGTGCAGTCTGACGGCTCGGTTCTTCAGAATCTGGAAGCTTCTTGTGCCATCACTGATGTCTTACCCCGTCTTCCCTGGATATCTTCATTTTCACTGACATCTGACCCTGTCTTCACTGACGTCTTACCCTGCTTGGGCCATATGGTATTAGCTGGTCATTTTATTTTATTTTTTATTTTTTTTTTTTGTTATATTAGAAACATTTTGTTGCTGTTAGCTGCTCTCAAGTTAACTCTTTTTTTTTTTCTATAATTATATTTTATTAATTTTCATAAACATTTACAGAGATTTTGGGCTTCCACTCATTCATTGTTGCACTATTCTCTCTACCCTCCTCCCAGTTTGTTCTTGTCCAAATGCCACAGTGCTTGTCAAAGCCAGTTCTGATTTATCTTCTTTGTCAGTGTATCCTTTGCCATTCCCTATCACTCCTCCCTGAGAGAGACTTCACCCTGAGTCATAAGGAAATAGCTGGTCATTTTAAAAACTATTCTTTCTGACATCAGTTGAACTAATCCTGTGTTGAGTGTGGGTATTTGTAAGTTAATGTAAGACTGATGAAGGCTCCTGGGCTTGACTTCTGTCACGCCTTGTCGACCTCACCTGTCTCCAACCTTCTCCTTGCGTCATTATATTTTTGCTGCATAATAAAGTGTGAAACTAAGTTAACTGGGTCTGGGACAACTTATACAGTACAACTTTGTGTAGAAAAGCTGGGGTATATGAAGACGAATGTGACATCAGGATCAGAGGAAAACGCATCAGCAGCCTGCATGGTGCAGATCACACAACCGTGCTTAAAGGGGATTGCTGCAGACGATCAAGGACACCAGCCTTCAATATGGGTTGTACCTCAACATCAAGAAGACAGGATTCCTCTTCACAGGACCAATAGGCGACGTCATGACAGAAGGAGAAAAGACTGACGTTGTCCATGGTGTCCTCTAACTCAGAGCCACAGTAGCAGTGGCAATCCGGGATCAAAGTGCACTCTGCCTTGGTGCTGCCAAGGATGTCTCCAAAGTGCTAAGGAGCAATGTGACAGCTAAAGACTTGCTTGCTTTCAAATAATATGATTCTTTCATCATGCTGTTATGTAATGATGGGGTTTGTATTCACAAAACAAAGAGCATTTTTTTTTGTATGTAACTTTTTTATGTCTATGACATGAAATAACAAACTTAAAAAAATGTCTGTTGTCATTCGTTGGCATTGAGGGCCCTGTAGCTTGTGGTGCCCTTAGCATCACAGGGTGAGCTTTCACTGGGCTGTCTGCAGGTACGCTGACATCCTGACAGTGCCCTTAGTATCATAGGATGAGCCTGTTTACACTGGGCTGTCTGCAGGTACCCTGACATCCTAATGGTGTAGTGTTAGGTATCTAGTTTCCACGTGAGACAACTGTAAGTCATACGTGACCCAGCCATAGAATGGATTGTTGAAATAAAAGTCACATATTGGAATTCTTTCATGAATACTCACAGTTTATAAATTTCTCTTGATTCAATCTCTGCTTGTTTCTGGAGGTGTTGTTATGAGCTGTGGAGTCAGAGCTGACCATGGCTGACCCTCCAAAGGGTTTTCAGAGGCAGTAAATCACATGGGAGGAAATTGCTCATCTTTCTCCCATGATATAGCTGGTGGATTCAAACCTCGTACCTTCGCATTGGCAACACAGTTTTTTATCACTGGGCCACCACAGCTCGCAGAGGGATTGAGACCATGTAAATAAAATTAGAAAAAGGTCACTTGCCACTGGACATCAGGAGGCAGCCGTAGGGTAGAATGGAGGGGACGAGGTAGACTGCAGCCCAACAGCGTGGTTTAAGAGCGTCTTCTCCTGGCTGGCCCCTGTAGTCAGCTGGTTCGAATCTCTCCATGTCACAGGCTCGTGTGATCGCCGTCCTGGACTGGGAGCTGTCCACCATCGGTCACCCGCTGGCAGACGTGGCCCACCTCGCCCTCTTCTACTTTTGGCCCCGGACAGTTCCGTTGCTCGGTGAGGGTTCCCATCTTACCGATCGCAAAGGTATGAAACTGTACTGTTGTTTCATTTGATGGTCCTGTAAAAGCATCATTATTGTTTCCCTAATGTCAAAACTCGAGGATTACTTTACTGTGTTTGGTAAATAACTTTTATTTGATTTCTGAAGGTATTGCCAAGCCATTTTTTTTCTTTTTCCCCTCTGAATTCAACATTTCCTTTTAAACTATGCCAAATCTCTTGTTTTGTCTGTAATTCTCTCTTGGGGATAAAAATTTAGAGCAATTCTCTGCATGGATTATAGGTGCTTTGTCCTGTTTTTCATATATTTGTTATATTAGGACATTTAAAAATATTCAGCATGACTTTAAAATTAATTTTTTTATTATATGCTATGTTCTAGGGCTGCCATCAATAGAAGAACTGGTTTCAATATATTGCCACCGCCGGGAAATTAATTCTGTTTCTGACTGGAACTTTTTTATGGCTCTTTCATTTTTTAAAATGGCTGGAATAGCACAGGTAAGAAAAAGTGAGCATCTCCAGATTATATACCAGGGACCAGGATGGGCGCTGAGGGAGGAGTCATCTCTGTGGTTCCCAGTGATTGGCCAGGGTGGGCTATGAAGGAGGAGTCATCTCTGTATTTCCCTGTGATTGGCCAGGGTGGGCATCTGAGGGAGGCATTATCTTGAATTCCAGATCTTACGCCCTCCTGGCCGATGTTAGAAAGAATGTCCACTGCTGTGGGTGGATACCGCTCCGTGAGACCCTACAGGACCCAGTAGAACTGCGCCCTCCGCCCTGAGTTCCTGGGACTGCACGTCTTCCTCCCTCAGAGCTGCTAGTGGGTCCACTCTGGGGAGTGTGCAGTCCAGGGCTCACCCAGCGTGCCCAGCACAATGCAGCACATGGAAGCCTCCTGTAAATGAATTCAGTGAATATGTTCATACAAATTTCCAATAATGCTGTAGTTATGTGGTTAATTTTGAGAGCAAGTTGGGCATACATTCAATTCTGGGGGGGGGGGGGGATTGTATACCAATGAAGGTATTTTTCTTTTTTCAAAGAGAAGACCAAACTGGGGAGGGGGAGGGGAGGGCGGGGAGAAAAATGCAACAATCGATGAAGGGAAATCCAAAATCTCTGTAAAATGTTCATTAAAATAAATTTTAAAAAATTTAAGTAAAATTTTCTAGGTATTCTAAATTTTAAGAATTTCATTAACTGAGATGATTTCTAAATATCAATGAAAAGAGGCTAGGATTTGAAGGAAGAAGTCAATGAAGTTTGTTAGAAACCTAGAATGGGAAAGAAAGATTAAGAAAACTAGGTATTTTCCTGTGCTCAGAGCTCACGTTCTTGTCAAACTGCCATGATGCTTTCTAGGAATTATTCTTTGTATTTTGTAGATCCTAGAGCACATGCAAAGGGTTGAGCATGTGTGTAGCACAATGGTTTTCCCAAGTAGGATTTAGAATCATTTGCAATGTCTGTTGATTTCTAGAAAACATGCCAAGTCGTTTTTTAATGCTGAATGGCTATTCATTTCATATAGATGGTTGATAGGGGTTATAATTGAGGTGTATATACGTGGGAGCTCTGGTGGCCTAGTGGCAATAAGCTGCGTTGAGATTCCAAAGTCACGCGGTTCAAATCTGCCAGCCTCTCCGTGAGGGAATGATGGGCAGTCTCTTCCAGAAAAATTAACTGCCTCTGAAAACCCGCCAGAGGGTGAGAGAGAGAGTGAGAGAAGTGTGTGTGTGTGTGTGTGTGTGTGTGTGCGCGCGCGCGCGTGTGTGTGTGCGCGTGCGCGCGGTGTACTAGGAGCCTTATGTAGTTGAATCCATTGAGGTAGAACCGACCCATAGCGGACCCTCTAGTGTGTTTTAAGAGGCAGTAAATCATATGGAAGTTGATTGCTCATTTTTCTCCTGTAGAACAGCTGGTGGATTCAAGCTGCATACCTTTAGGTAGACCATGCAGCTCCTTACCTCTCAGCCACCAAGGAATGAGCGAGCCTTGTAGATAGATGATCATAAACATTCCATTTCTACTGGCAGTAGGAATTGGAAATGATGAGAAGGCCGCAGTGGTTTACAGTCCACATACTTATTATGTGCTGAGCCAACTCCCAGATGACCCTGCAGTGCGTTTTCAGAGGCTGTAAGTCCTGAGGGAGGACAGTGCCCATCTTTCTCCCAAGAGCAACTGGTGATTTGAACCAAGAGCCTTTGAGTTGGCACTGCAACTGCTTACATACTAAGCCATCAGTGCTCTCTAAAAATTAGTTATATAAAAAAGATGAAGTAGTGGAAATCAGTAATTTGTGGGGTTGGGTTCTTTGCTTGTTTGAAAGGGCATTGTTCTCTTGGTAGTATAAGCAGTTGTGATACTCAGCTACTAACTGAAGATGGAAGTGTTGAATCCACCTAGGGGCATGTGGAAGGAAGGCCTGGTGGTGTTTCTTCAACACTCTTCCCTGGACACCCTTGTTCTGACACACAGTGTTGCTGTTAGTAGGAGCTGGGTCAGTGACAGTGGCTTGGCTTGGTTTCTGTGTTAGGGTAGAAGCAAGAACATGGAAAATTAAGGAAGAAAAAGCTGATAGTATTCAACTGAAGCTCTTTAAAGGAGATAATTCTTAAGAGTTATCTAATTGCATTTCCTTTGGCTTTATATGTGTTTATCATATTTTGGTTTCTTTAAAAATGTTCTCCCTTTAAGAAGGGAAAGTAAGGATTCTCAAGATCACAAAAGTTGCAGGTTTGGTATCTTTGGTAACTACTGAATTCATTTTCCAGTTTGGTGTGAGTCATTTTGCTAGGATGAGCGCACATTAACTAGATGAGAGAAGTGAGCTCTTTAATTTATGGAGAATAACTATCCCTACATGGAAATGAACAGCATTATGTCTTCCTGATTTGTGAATGTAGTTAATAGTAAGAGCAAATGGCCCTTCTTCTGTACTCCACTTGGCATCTCCCAGGTTATCACACTGTAGTGGTGCGGGGGTTGCTGTGATGTGAGGAGCTGGTCCGCAGGTATTACTAGTACAGGCGGGCTCACCAGTGATGGACAGGATGCAGAGGGAATTCCAGACTGACAGACTCGGAAGCAGGATGCTGTCTAGTTCTCACATGATGGGTCTTGAAGCCCAGGGATAGCACTGGGACACTACCAGAAGATAAGTTCCTCACATTGGAACACTCTCAGCATTGGACTAGGAAAGAGCTGCCTCCCCAAAATACAGTCGATCTTAATGACATGACTGGAGTAAAGTTTTCACCCAATGAAGGTCCTTCATTTGCTCATGTAGCACAAACCAAAATAAGGAGATGCCCGTGTAAACATCTATTAATAATGACTTCTAATTATTTATATTCAAATAACAGCCAATTATTGACCATATGAGTTAGGAGATAACATCAAAGATATCCAAGAAGAGAACAAAAGGTAATTTCAGACACAGAAGAGGAGGAGACCAAAATGGACGTCAGAAAAGACTCTGAAAATTGCACTCGAGGGTTGAGAAGCCAAAACAAAGGGAAGGGATGCTGAAGTAAAATAGATCAGCAGAGGATTTCAAAGGGCAGTTCGAGAAGACCAAAGCAAAGTATTATAATGGAATGTGCAGAGAACTGGACTTGGAGAGTAGAAAGGGAAAAACCCCCTTGGCATTTCTCAAGCTGAAAGAACTGAAGAACAAATTAAAGCCTCTAGTTACAGCACTTAGGGAAGCTATGGGCAAAATCTTGAATGATCTAAGAAGCATCAAAAGAAGAGGGAAGGAACACACAGAGTCACTGTACCAAAAAGAATTGTCCGAAATGGAAATATTTCACGAAGCAGCATACGGTCAAGGTCCAATGGTAATGAAGGATGAACTTCAAGCTGCGCTGAAGGCATTGACAAGAAATAAGGCCCAAGGAATTGATGGAATACCAGCTGACATGTTTCAGATAATAGATGTAGCCTGAACTGCTCAGCACTCAGCTACCTGGCTGACTGGAAGAGATCTGTATTTATTTCCATTCCCAAGAAAGGTAATCCAATAGGATATGGAAATTCTCTACCTATATGATTAATAGTAGATCCAAGAATGGCCAGAAAGAAGTTTAAGCTGGATTTAGAAGAGGTCATGTCACCAGGAATGTTAATATTTGATGGATCCTTGCTACAAGCTGAGAAGACCAAAAGAATGTCTATCTGTGTGTTATTGGCTATGCAGAGACATTGGACTGTGTAAATCACAACAAGCTATGGCTAACATTGAGAAGAATGGGAATCCCAGAACACTTAATTATGCTCATATGAAACCTCTGTCTAGTCCAAGAAGCTGTTGTCCAAACAGAGCAAGTGAACACTGCTTGGTTTAAACTCAGGAAAGGTGTGTCAGCGTCGTATCCTTTCTCTATATCTGTTCAGTCTGTACCCTGAACAAGTCATTTGAAAAGCTGGACTCTATGAAGAACTTGTGGCATCAGGATCGTAGGACAACTCCTCAACAACCTGAGCTGTGCAGATGACACAACTTTGCTTGCTGAACTTGAGGAGAACTTGAAATGCTTTCTGCAGAATATCAAAGACTACAGCTTTCAGTATGGATTGCCGAGTTAAGGAAAGCTGTATTTGTACCTATATTCCAGAAGAGGTGATCCAACAGAATACAATAATTATTTAATAATATCACTGATATTACACCTAAGTAAAATATTATTGAAGGTTATTAAAAATGGTTGGAGCAGTATACCCATAGAAAAATGCTAGAAATTCAGGTTGGATTTAGAAGAGACTTTGGCATGACATAATTGCTGATGTCAGATGGATGTTGGCTGAAGGTAAAGAATACCAAAAAGGTGTTTATGTATATTTTACTAGATGTGCAAAGGCATTCAACTGTGTGGATAATAGTAAAGTATTAATAACATTGAGGAAAATGGAAATTCAGCAACAGTTGTGCTCACGTGGATCCTGTACACAGAACAAGAAGCAATAGTCCAGACTACAAGGGCACATGACAGTATTTCAAATCAGGAAGGTGTACATCTGGGTGGTATACTTTCTTCATACTATTCAATTTGTACGCTGAGCAAATTACCTCAGGAGCTTCTCTCTATGTGAAGAATGTGGCAGCAGGATTGGAGCGGGACTCATCAGTCACCTGAGTTGTGCAGATGGTACGGCCTTGCTTGCTGAAAGTGAGGAGAACTAGAGGCACATACCGAAGAGGGTCAACGGTGTACCTTTCAGTATGGATTTCACCTCAATATAATGGAAACAGAAATCCTCACTATTGTTCTAATATGTACCAACATGACAAATGGAGGAAAATGTGATGTTGTCAGTGGTTACATTTTACTTAGTTATCCATCAATATCCATGAAAGAAGCAGTCAGGAAATAAAAAATGTGCTAGGGAGCTCTGGTGGCCAAGTGGCAAGAAGGTGTGCTGCAATCCTAAAGGTACAAAGTTTGAATCCATCAGATGCTCCACTGGAGAAGGAGGGATAGTCTTCTCCTGTGCCAGTCGAATCCAGTTCGATGGTGCACAACATGAGGGAAAAAGAGAAAGAAGGAGAAGAAGAAAAATAATATATACTATGTTGGATGAGCAGATTATCCGAGAGGCTGGGCTCTATGAGGAGAAGTGTGGCGTCAGGATTGGTGGAAGATCTATTAACAATCTACGTTATGCAGATGACAAAACCCTGCCTGCTGAAATTGAGGAGGACCTCATGCACTTGCTGCAGAGGGTCAAGGACTGCAGCCTTCAGTATGGACTGAGGCTCAATGTCAAGAAGACAAAGATTCTCACCACTGGACCAATTGGTAGGATCAGGATGGATGGCGAAGAAATTGAGATTGTTCACAGCTTCCGTTTGCTCGGCTCGATGGTCAACACTCTTGGCATCAGCAGCCAGGAAATCAAAAAACATATTGCAATGGGAAATTCTGCTGTTAGGGACCTCTCTAAAGTACTCAAGAGCAACGGTGTCTCTCTGGAGACTAAGGTGCGCTTGATACAGGCCATGGTCTTTGCAATC